AGACCAATCCCAATTGGGCACAAATAAATGCATGCACATACAGGAGAGAGGGAACAGCGATGTAAATGGAGGCGGATGTGCACTGCTCTACAGCCGATTCCAAGCATGCTCAAAAATACAAGCAACTGGGGACAGTGTCTATATTTCCATATAAAAAGACACAATAGGGGCCAGACAGTGGTGCAGTGGGAGCACGATACTCTGCACGGATGGAGTGACACAGGAAGGTCCCAAGTTCACGTCCAGGTGCACACACGCACACCCATGGTGCAGGTGAGCTGCAGCTGGGGGCGGATGGCGGTGTGAGGCCTCTGTTGGAGCACGCTCTCTTTCTCTTTCTCAATAAACCTTTAAAAAATAAAGAGCAAAACTGGCTTTCTTTAAGGGGAAAAAAAGAGAGAGAGAAGACTATTAGATGCCTACCGAAGTGATCACAGTGTTTGGTTGGTCTTAGAAGAAAATGGAATAGAAAAGAGACAGTCACAGATCATTTTCATTTTTCTTATAATGAGAGTGTTATACGTTATTAATCTGATACTAATAGGACTAAAAAGAAAGATGTGAGCTTTGGGGACGGACTCCCACACACACACACACACACACACACACTTATCATGGTATCCCACCAATCCTCCAGGAAAAATCTCTGCTTTAAACTGAAAGGGGAGGCTTCCCACCTACTGCCCTCCCTTAACTTCACAGAGCAGCAAAACCGCGACGATCATAAAAGTGTCAGTATCTCCGAGCAGCTGTTCGGCGTTGCTGGGGGAATACTGTGTTCTGAGCAGCCCAAGGAGCATTTCCCACCCCCGGGCCCCTGGGCAGCCCTCCTCTCAGGCCTAGTGTGGGCCACCTTTCTTGTCCACACCCTGCCCTTTTTTCCTTTCAAAATGTACTGTTTTATGTCTTTTATGAACGAGAGGATGGGTACACTCTTGAATGGGTCTTGTCACACGACAATCCCCCCACTGCCTTGCAGACAGCCAGGATCATGGGCGTGCGTGAGTGTCCCTGACATGTACAGGTCAACCTGGGATCTGAACCCGGGCTTCTCACGTGGCTCCAGGTTACACAGCAGTGCCTGACTGCCCGCACCACAGTCGGGCCTCTGCCTGACCCCTCCCTCACTGAGCACACCTCGTAGCTCAGCAGCGATGTACGAAGCTGGCCGTGCTGGGTCCACATAGAGTTCGCAGTTCATTCCCCGGTTGGCCAGTACACGCTGGTGTACACATCCATGACCCGGCTGGCCGGGAAGGCTCGGGGAGGAGATTGTGGCCTGGGACCACGTTAAGGGTACTTCTCACTCTCTGTCTCTGTCTCACTCTCACAAAATAAACAAGCTTTGGGAAAAAAAAAAAAAAAAAAAAAAAGCCTACACAAACGGCTATG